GTCATAAATAAATATGAGAGTTAAGTATATACCAAATATTTTAGCTCTTTTCATAATATTTTCATTCATTTATAATTAGCAGTCTGTAAACGTACTCAAGAGCTAACTGCCTCAAGTGCTAAGCTCTACGAAATATTTCGTGAAATTTTGATAGTTTTGATAATCAGATCCTAATACTCCTTGTCTGCTATGTTCATCTTGCTTTGGCCTACAAATATACATATGTTATATTTAATTAATTTCTGCTTGCATTCAGTTGCCACAAAGGCAGCCAAAATTTCAACACTCTTACAAAATTGTTGCAGCATTTTCATGTGTGAAAAAGCCTTGCGAAAAGTCTTTAAATACTTTAACTGTGCATTCGTCTGGCTTCGGATTTATGTGGGCTTGCTTAAGCCAAAGAATTTTCAGCATCCCTTGACAAAGACATAAACGTTGTTTCGGCTCCAGCGAATTGACTGTGCGGCAGCTGCAATAGAATTTCAAGTAGTAATAAATTCATTTCCAGCTAGTTAACTAGACTCTCCTGGCCATTGTCATGGCTCATGTTTGGCTTTATTTATAAAGCTTCAACATTTGCGTGACGTCAATTGGCACTCGATTAACATCATCTGGAATTGCCCGCGACATTTTGCATTTGCATTTCTCGCTATTTGTAATATAAATACTTTTCCCTCGAATTTGTGGACCGCTGTAATTCGCTTCACGCAGAAGTCGCATTACGTTCGTTTATAAATACTATATAATTGCATTTCAGCTCACTGTCACACACTCACTGAACACAGTTGCGCTGTAATCCCTCGAAATCAGCTCAAGTTGCATATTCAAATGAAAGCCAAGAGCCAGCGTGTGAAAGCGAGCCGTAAATCGTTTCACATTTGCGATGCAGCTGAAATCCTAACTAAATATGATTGAGATGCAAATAAAAACAAGTGGAATTTTTTTTTTTTTTTTTTTATTTTTCGTGCTTATTTCGAGTTGGTGGAGCTGGACGTGCGCGTTATTAATGCTTCGCTCCTGTAATCCATTTGGCTGCCGTTGTTTTTATATCTCTCTATGCGCGAGTGGGTGGCCTAGCCGTGTCAGTGTGTTTATGTGTGTGTGTGTGTGTGTGAGAGAGAGAGTGTGTGGGTGAGTGGGTGGTTTGTGCTGCGCTGATGATTTATTTGCACGTCTCCCAACAACAGCTCTTAACTTTTATTTCTAACTAGAGTTATTTTTAAATTATGACTTGGATTTTATAAGATTGGTTTTAATTATTGTTAAATTTTTTTTATCTTCCAGTCCTAAATTTTTTTTTTATAATTTGGCGATTTTTATTTTGTGCATTTTAATTAAATTTAAAACAAAAACACGCAGTAATATAAAAAAAAATAATGTGATAGTAATTTTTCTGTCATTAAAATTAAAAATATATTTTTAAGTTAATATTATTTTTATGTATATTAATAATACAAAATAATAATGAGAAAGAAAAAAAAAAGAAAAACAAAAAAATTAAATAATAGTATAAATAGAATATTTTGTATATATTTTTTTTGTATTATTTATTTTATATTTATATATTTTATTATTTTTATTTATTAATTTGTTTAATTTTTCAGTATTATATTTTTTTATTAATACTTTTTTTTATTAATTAATTAATTTTTTTTATGAATTAATTTAATTTGATTAATTAATTTATTTTTATTTAAACAGATATCAACTAATTATATTTTTAGCACTATGGAACACAAATGCAGAAAACATTGTGAAGGCGAAGAAAGCGAATATTTTATAGATTTTATAAGTCAAGAGTTGGATCAATAGGTGTGAGCTGAGGATGGTGTCAGAATAGTTAAATAGTTAAAGTATATCAGGCTGCTGAGCCCCATATAGATGTGGTTCAAAGAGGTGGCTGAAGACTCAGCTACACTTAGTCTTACTGCAGTATGTTGAAAGCTATTACTTAATTTCTCTGCTCGGCACAGGGTATCTGAAGTTGAAGTTTCATTTGCTGTGTGCATGGCATGCACAGGATAATTAAAAATACGCGCACAGAGCTGTAAAAAATCAGCTGCACGCTTTTAGGCAGGGGCGTATGCTAAATAGTTGTTTGTTTGCCTTTGCTGTTGCTCGTTGCTGGTTGCTGGTTGCTGGTTGTTGGTTGTTAGTGCTCTGATCTGTGAGCGGGTGGAGGCTGTGCGCAGTGCCAATGCACAGCGTTGCACTGGCGTGGGAAAAAAGGGAATGGTAATAAAACAATAGCAGAAAAAAACGGAGCAAAATATTTGCGTGTGGCAAGTACAAAGGCTGTGGCAGTGGAAGATAGATAGAGAGAGAGGGAGGGAGGCAGAGTGAGAGGAGCAGCAAATTAAATGCTCTGCGTGGGCCACTTCAGATTCATTCAGACAAACTGTAAACACACTCGAGACTTCAAAGCGAAATCGAATTAGCCAAAAAATTCTCGGGGCACAGGGTTTTCTTTTTCTCTTTTTTGCTTTTTTTCCTTTTTCCTTTTCCTTTTTGGTTTGCTTTGGCCTTAAACAAACTTGCTGTGAGTCTCCATATGTGAAATGCTCTTCTGCTCTCGTCTCTGCATTTTACACGTGCAGCATGCAGCTCAAACAAATAATGCTCACATCATCTGCTGAGGACATGAACAAGCAACACTACAAATTTGCAGCATTCCTTTGTGGCTGCTGTGAGGCCAACAATATCCGAGCGGATTGATTGTGCTCTGCTATTTATGCTGTCACCGTTTGTGTTTGCAAATGCTGCTGCTGGCCATGGCTAGTTGTCATGGTAACAGCAGGTGCTCCCAGTGGGAGAGAGAGAGAGAGAGAGAGAGATAGATGGAGTTCAACTTTATTGAACAAGTAAATTTAGATAGTAGTTTAAGTAGATATGCAGCAGCAGAAGCTGACAATATTTAAGTAAACTCCTTTGATAGCCTCCCGAAAGGCAATTCAATTCGATTGCCAACTAAACAGCTTTAGACTTGGCTCAGTTACCAACTTCCTTACCTGTGCGAGAACTGCCCCCGCCAGGTGTGCCAAAGACAAATGTGCCTTTGCCTTTGGCTTTATGGGGCACGTTACATTGATACAGTCGACTCTATATAACTTGATATATACATATATATGCATATATATATATATGCATACAATATATACTGGCACGTATTTTTATCTTGACTCTGGCCAAATGGGCGTGGTTTTGGCGTCTGCTTGAGTCGCTTAGCTTTGTGGCTTGCATGCAAATTTTATGTTTTAATAACAAGTCTCTGGCATGCAAGCGGCGCATATTTTATGCCAATTGCCGTGCCACGCTCCAGGCCAACAAAAACAACAGCTACAAAAAAAGGGAAGAGCAAGAAGAAGAAGAGGGTTAGCTGAAAAAAAAAAAAAAAAAAAACAAAAAAAAAAACAAAAAACAAAAAGAGAAAAGTAAAGGCACAGAAGCAGCAGCAGCACGCCCAATGCCACGCCTACAGTCAGCCTAAGGGATTTCGTTTTGTCTTCGCTTTTGGGTTTTACCTGCGTGCCTTTGTGTGTGTGTGTGCGTGTGTGTGGGTAGGGGTTTGTGTGTGTGGGGAGCTGTGTGTGGCTGCCCCAAAGCTGCTTATTTTTTAACCAAGCTCTCTGCCCTGTAAATCAGTCACGCCCATATTTGCTTAACCGTAAACACACCTGCCAACCGTTGCCCGCCTCCTTCACTTTGTACTTGCTTAGAAAATATTTTTCTTGGCTTTGTGCTAATTAAGTTTGATTTGCTCCCAATTGTTGCAAGCACTTAAGTTGCACAAATTTCCAAGTAATATTGTACTTGCAAATTTATAAGTAAATATATGCATATATTTATATTTATATATGCTCCTCTACATATACAATATGCATATATGTACATATGTGTGTACTCCCCTGCCATGCAAATTGAGTGATGCGTGCCGCATGCGAGTCAAATGTAAATGCAAATGCGACTGCGACTGCGACTGCAAATGCAAATGCTGCATAAAATATGATTGCCACAATTATTCGTGTCCAGCCAGCGACAATGTTGCAAGTGCCACATTCGTCGTCAGCCATTGTGATTGCTGTGCGGCGCGCTGCCTCCTGCCACCCGCCTCCTGCCTGCTGCTGCTCTGTCAGTTGCTGAGCTGCTCGGCTGCTGTTGCCTGACAATTGCCAGCGTTAAGTCCGCTCTCTTCTTAATAATGCACACTCACTCATTCAAATGTATTAAGAGCAGCAGGTAGAAGAAGAGTGCAAGAGATAAAGACAGGCAGCCTATGGGCGCCTGAGTGTGAGAGAGTCTGCTGTGATCTATAGCCATACATATGTACATACACAGGTAACACTACTTTATTGTGCTCTTTAGCCAAATAGAAATCATAGCTCAGCAGTTGCCTTTCTCTAGTTTAGTTAGTTAGTTAGTTAAGATTTTTACTTGCATTCCAAGTTACAATTTGTAATCATGCAGTGATTCAGCTTCTTGTATATTCATTTTAATTCATATATAATATCAATTTTATTTTATAATATTTTTTTATTATTATCAATATTATTTTATAATATTTTTTTTTTTTTTTTTTATCAATTTTATTGCATAATCATTTTTTTTTTATTATTATCAATATTTTTTTATAATATATATATTTTTTTTATTATAATCAATATGATTATTTTCTCTTTATTTTATTTTTATTTTTTTATATTAAAAAAAAAATATATATATATTCATTTTTTAATTTTTCATAATTTCCAACACTATTTTACTATATTTTAGCACACTGTGCCACGCTTTGCCCAGTTGTTGAGATTTGTGTTTTCATTTCAGCTCGACTCTTCCCAATTGAGGTTATAGCTGACTTTAGTGGGCAGCGGTCTCGACTAGCAATGTTTTCAGTTGATGCGGGCGTGGTCAACCACCCCACTCTATTCTATGTATTTATATATACATATATTATATATCATTTTTTTTTTCGTTCGCTATTTTTATTCAATTGCAACATTTATAAACTAGTAAAAAAAAAAGCCAAAAAAAAAAGGAGAGTTATTAAACAAAACTCGACTGATTAACAGTGCTTGATGATGGTGCAGTTGACCTCGTAGTGGCACATGGCCCGCCTGCTGCCATTTTTGGGATTCAGTGAGTAGACGGTGCCGAGCACCGTGTAGATCGCATTCGGCTGATACATGAACTTCAGTATGGATGTGTCGGGCGGCACCTGGATGACGTTCATCATGTAGGTGCCGCGCTTTAGGGGGCAGTCGAGACTCATGTTGCTGCCGCCGCCCGATATGATCAGCTTGGCTGCATTATTCCACGCATTCACGCGTCGTATGTATTTCCAAAAATCACACGTCTTGATCGTCGAATTGTAGATTGTACGAACCGTGTCCGATCTCATTCCATTGCGGCGCTTGCTCGGATTTTGTATGAAGATCAGATGCCATTGCGGCACGGGCACCTCCTCGAGCACCGTTGTCACGGATGACATCGAATTGTTGCGCACATGCAATTTCATTTCGAGCTTATAGGTGGGCGTGTCCCAAGAGCTGAAGCTTAGCAGCTTCAGGTAATAGCAGTACTAAAAGATGCAGAAAGAGAGACAGACAGAGAGAGAGAGAGAGAGAGAGAGAGAGAGAGAGGAGGGAGAGACAGAAAAAGATGAGCAAACTGAGCATATATTGAATTTACATTATTTAAAATATAATAAATATTAATAAATAAAATTAAAATTTATTGAATTTAAAAAATAATTAAAAAGAAAAAAAAAAACATTTATTAATTGTAAATTTAAATAAAAGTTTGATCACAGTAAGCAAATCAATTTCTAGCTTCAATCTAGACTTTCCACTCCAATTCCTTTTGGCCCACTACATAAGACTCACCTGCTGAGCCAGCTGGACAATGGCTAACAGTATCAGAGATCGCAGCACACGTCTATTGCAGTTCATAATGTACAGCGAACTGTTCCAGTTTGCAGTCAGCTCTGTTTGAGTTTAGTCTAATGATTTTATAAGTGATTTCTGATGCCGTTAATGATATAATATTTGATGTGAAGTACCCATCTAATGTCTCACTCATCATGGGCATAGCCATTAAAAAAGTTCATGAAAAATATGTATGTGCAACAAGTCGGGTTTACAAAATACAATTATAGCACATGACCCCTCATATAATGCCCCCCCGCCCACCCTCACCATAAAAAAAAACAACTCATACATAACGACAGATCTGTGTGACAGATTTTACATGGTCTTTATTTACTTGGGTCCTCAGTCAACAACAACAACAACAACAACAACAACAACAACAACAACAACAACAACAACAACAACAACAACAACAACAACAATAATCCGATTCAAGCTGTTAACAACATTTTTGGCATTTTAGAGTGGGCAAGAGGGGGCAATGGAAATTTGTTTGCTTATCAACATCATCATCATTAGAGCTGCTTTACAGTTGTGCAACAGTAATTGTTAAACTTTTATTGTTGATTTAGCTAATTAGCTTTGGCATACAACTGACTAGCTGGTTGGCTGGTTGGCTGGCTGACTAGCTACTAGCAGAGATGCCGCATCTCGAACATATATCCGTAACAGTAACAGATTTTTCCCACACACACACACACACACACACACACATACATATATCCGTTATGCTTTATCCGGTTTCCGGTTTTCTGTTTGTATTGCTGGCATCCAACTGGGCTCGAGCATGCAAAGTGTCGGCTGCTGTGACACCGCAACAACAGCCGCAACAAGCATAACAACAATGACCGCTTCCAGCTATCCAATGTCCTTTGTTGACTGACATACACACACACACACACACACACACACACACACACACAGGCACAGACACGCATTCTCACCCACTCACACATATATATTCAGACACACATTCCGCTTCGCTTCAATTCTCATATTTACTTACGGGTTATTTTCCAGCAAATATTTGCATTGCTTACCCGCAGCGTCTATAGCATTGGCTTTTCACAATTTACATTTTGCCCATTTCCCTGTGCTGCTCCACATTTTCCCACAGTTTTCCCTAGCCTACTTTGGCGGATGTCTCTTCCGAGCTGTTGTTGTTGTTAGCTTTTCGCGTTTATCAGTTGCACAACAACAATTACGTGTGTCTCTTACCCCTCCTTCCTCCTTCATCTCCCCTCCGCCTCGTGTTTGATTTATAATACAAAGCAACATCATAAAACTGCTTCACTCAATTTTCAATTTTCACACACACACACACACACACACACACTTACACACACACTCGCACAGATGTGTGTGTAAGGGAGATAGAGCATGCTACAGTTTTCTTTATCCACTCTGAACAATGGCAGTCAATGCAAATGGCCGTCGTGTCGTTTGTCTGTTGGTTGTCTGGTTGTCAGGTTCTCTGGTTGTCTGGTTTGTTGGCCCAGATGATTGGACTCTGCTCTTATTGTTGCTGTAGCTTTTGTTGTTGCCGCTGCTGGTGCTGTTGCTGTTGCTGCTGCTGCTGATGTTTTGCGTAACTTGCTTTTTGGGCTTGGGTTACTTGAGCCATTTGTTTTGCTGCCCTTGTTACAATTCTGTGCCAAAGAGTTGAGCGACTTGCCAGACTTCAGCTGAAAATTGCAAATATCATAAAAGAGAAAAATTGAATCAAATTCATTTTGTAGCATTGCATATCTTGTAGTGGTAAAAGCTCATACTATTTATGTAGTCTAAACCGAAAGAGATATGAATTTCCTTTTAGTACTAAGCCTTGACTTGAGAGAGATATGAATTTGTAAGTTTGATCTATTAGGAATAGTTGAACCTTTTGCTCGTATACCATGTGAGAGAAGGGAGAGTTTGATTAGATTAGTGTTAGGATTATTAATTAATAATTAATTCGAATGGATGTGCTTTAAAAAATATTTCACACAATTTGTTATACTGCCTATCTTACCCAATATCCTGAGTTTATTGAGATCTACAAGGAGCTTTGCTCACAGTATATACAGTATATGTATGCAGAAAGCTTTAAGAAGCTTTTAGCTAAGCAACTTTTAAAGTTCATGCTTTCTGTATTATATTTTATGTTAATATAAATTAACTTAAAACTAAATTTAAATATTGAAATCTTAGTTAATATGATACGAATCTGAAAGCTTTAACAATTTCTCTAATGTATTCTTTACCTATGCAAAATTAAATGTATATTTCCAAGAGCAACTGCAGTGTGACCTGAACTCAATCAGCGTCTAGCTTTTATTGCTATCATGGTTTATATGGCTTTGCCATCTCGCTCGCACTTGCTCTCTGATTCTCTCGCTATTACTTACTCTCTTATTCTCTCTCGGGTCGTTTTTTTTTTTGGTCCATTACTTGGATTTGATGGTGTACAGCTTTATTAGAGCTGCCACCCCGAGCGCCATTCATTTTCGAGTGTAAAATTTATCTATTTGGGCTGCTTTTTTTTTCGCATTCTCGGCTGCTCCGCTGCGTCTTTGTGCTTTGCCGTTGCTGTTGCTGTTGCCGTCATTTTTGATTTGTTTCAATAAGCTTTTATGGGCTTTTAGTTGGTCGATTGGCGGCCCAAATTGTTGTTATGTGTTTATTTTGTTGATTCTGCGGCCAGCAAAAATATGTCAGCCGACCGAGCAGGCAGCAACGGCCAATGATGTCAATATATTCGGTATGCCATTTGAGTGCCGTACGGGGGCCAATGCGCCGAAAAGCATGCCACATAAGTGCCAGCCTTAATGCACATCGTTTCGTTCGGTCCAACGCCAAGGACTGACACCCCTTTAGTGGGCGTCGCGCTGCACTCTCGCTGCCCGCTCTCTGCTCGCTGCTTGCTGCTTATCGCTGCATAGCATGGGGGCCTTGAACGTTTTATGATTGCACTTTTCAGCAATAAAATAAAGCATTCACATGCACTAATACACACGCAAACACGCAAGCCCACACACACACACACACACGCACAGACAGCTGCTTACGTCGTCACCATCATCAGCAGCAGCCGCAGGCAATGAGACTTGACACCAATCCTGAAACTTTAATAACCTCAGACAGTGCGCTGCCCAGCGCACATGCAATAAAATGTCTGCTGGCTCATAAAAACCCACCTACTAATGCCCATACCTCATACATATATGATACAGCTACACGCCACACGCCCAATGCCCGCATCCTGCAACACTGCCAGCTGCATGGATACAAAGCGAGAGAGTGTGTGACAGAGAGAGAGAGCGAGAGCGAGAGAGAGAGAGTGAAATAAAGAAACTAAATTCAACTAAGACTGTTTTATGTAGACGCTAGTGTTTGCTCTGTAGACACACTAAATACGGTTGATTCTATGTGATTTTGAGGATTTCCAATTAGATTCCAATTAGAGAGACTTTATAGAATCAGCTTGGATAACACAAGATCAACGAGTCTCTCGCTGTCTTTCTTTCTCTCACTCTCGGATAGGAGAGCCTGATGCAGGCTTGAGCCCTATCACAATTTCTTATCAAGAGCTGTAAGTGGCCAGCTGGATAGGGTATTAAAGAGCAACAGCATTTCGAGTCTTTGGGGTCAGTGGAGCGGGTGGTGCTGTCAGCTGTCAGCGCGTCGCCAGTGCAGCTCATAAACATGAGGGTCGTCTATATATACATGCACACATACATATGTGGAGCAGCTAGCTGAGCACATCAGCACCCGCTCAGCCCCGCCCAGCGCGCCCTCTTGGCATCCACTCAACGCTGGATTGTTAACCATCGAGGACGGACGGTCGGGCGGTCGTGCGGCTCGCTCTGTCAGTTGTTGTTTGGACCATCGCGTCATATTTATTTCCAGTCATACGAATGCCTTGACATTGCTTGCATAATTGTTCAAGCTTATCGGGCGTGTTCTACCAACCGATATCGCTGCACAAATCGCAATTTCTTATATACATATGCAGATTTTATAGATGTGCATCGAGAGTCATATCAGTTAATTAGATTGAGAGATCATTGAGTTTGGTTTTAGCAATTCCCAGCACTATGCACATTTATTCGCTTCTGCTGACTTCTTGCGTTGGCTTGGCGAGCTTTTCAATTACCGCACAATTAAATTATTGAAATTGATTTTCGGAACACTTTGTAATTGCCTGGATAATTGAGAGCTTCGTTCGCCATTGGCTCAAGCCAAGCGTTTAATTGCATATGTGCAGGGCCAATGATGGCCCAGTCTAGTTGGTCCTGGCTGGTGCCAGCCATTATCCCATCATTGGCCTGGCCACATGCCACATGCGATACGCATGTGTCTGTGTATATGCATATATTTATATGTGTATTTGTATATGTACATGTTTGAATATCACGCATTCGCCACGTACGCCACTTCATTACATCAGCCTGTTATTGTTATGGCTGCTGCTGGTGCTGTTGCTGTTGTTGTTGTTGTTGTTGCTGTTTCTCTTATTCTGGTTGCTGCTCTTGTTAAATTCCCGCGTTGCCGTCAAGACAAAACATGGCCCATCAATCTCTGACACTGCCTATGCAAAATTTGCTTTGCGTGTGCGTGAGTGTCTATGCCTCTCTCTCTCTCTCCCACTCTCTCACACACACTCTGTACGTGTGTGTGTGTGTGTGTGTCTGTGACTGTGCCGCCTTCAGTTCCCTGGGGGTAACGCATAGGGCACTCGTAAATTTCATTTAATCACTCGAACCTTCGACTTTGATGTAGTACGTAAAAATATTAAAGTCCAAACTGTCGGACTGTCGGCCATTTAATGGCCAGGCCCTAGCATGAGCACGAGCTACAGATCCAGCTCGAGTACGAGCCGCACACAATTTATTAGCGCTGCTCATGAGCCAGGTGAAAAATTGGGTCAGCTCTATGGCTGCGTTGAGCCTCGTCCACTCAACATTGTTGCCGTCCGCAAGGTCAAATCCGGCTGCCAGCTAAAAGCTCCCAGCTCCCAGCTCCCAGCTCTCAGCGGCCGCCTCTGTGTGGCTGTTGCTGTGGCCTGTTGCTGCGAGTGCAAATTTATGTTGAGATTAATTGCAACAGCCATTGCAAAATGTGGCAGCAGGCAGCAACTTTAATTAGCAAGAAACGTCAACAGGTCTGTGGCAACACAAAACACAAAAAAAAAAAAAGCTGAAAATCAAAATAAACGAAAGCAGCAGCAACAACAACAAAATGGTCCACTTGTCACTCGCCGCCTTGACGACCTGAGCCTCACGGCTCACGGCTGCTAAATGAAGCATTCAGGTTGAGTTTTCCATCGCACAGCAGCATTCGCGACTCGCAGCTCGCAATTCGTTGCCATAAATTGCCCATTGAAATGAAAATCGCTGCAGTTGCACTGATCAATATGCTATATGAGTGCGTGTGGTGAGCCTTGAAAGCAGATTAATTTCACAAGCTGCATGAACAGCAAATGGAATAAGCATCATCCACGCTCAAACGCTGCAGCAACTTAACCATATGCCAAGTGTTTCGCACTCAAACGAATCAAAGCGCCATAAAATCTATAGAAATTAATAAAAGCAAAGCAAATGGAATTATTTGTCAATTAATCAATCTCGGCTACAATCAATTTCTGCAAAACTTCGTCAGCAAACTAAAAACTCATATGAAAATGCAATATTTAAATAATGTATAACTTTTCCCGTAATATCAAGTATGTTTTCTTTTATTGCTTGGCTAATAATGCGTGCTTAAATGAAATCAATTGGAAAATTTAAGAAATAAATATTTCCTTTTTGGCTGTTGCCTAGAGCCTAACGCATTTGGACAGTTGCCTTTCCACTCAATTTCATTCATATTGCAAAGCCATCTATTATTCAGACTCTCAAGTGCTTAAGCACATGCTTCACTCTCTCTCTCTCTCTTGCTCTCTCTCTCTCTCTCTAGCTCTCTCTCTATCTATCTCAGCTGCAGACACCCAATTGTAATGCTGTGTTTATTACAAAATCGCTTAGAAATTTCCTGTTTGGATAGATAACATGCGGCGACGTGCAATGCATATCAAGTATATTGCTTTAATTGTGATTGTTATCGATTTGCGTAGCAGCTGCCCGACAAACGAAAATTGTGGGTCGGAAATGTATTTTACTTTCGTTTCCTTGGCGAGCCGATTTGGGGGACAGCTCGGCCATTTGAGTTGAGCTGCTGACCAAGGCTTTTTGCAATAGTTTTTCCAATTACAGCTGCGCTCCTGCCACGCCCAGGGAGCGAATTACGTTATGCAAGTTGGACAAAAGTAAACAAGTAAGAAGGCTCCAGTCGAGACTGCTCGACTAGGAGATACCCTGAACCCTCCAAGCTGATATTCTAATCATTCTGCACTTCTTTTATGCACACATACATACACATGCATCTACACGCACGCACAAGCCTGCGCTCTGCTAACTGCGCAGTAAGCAGCGACTGCGCTTGGGCTGCGCTGCAGTGTGGGCAATATTATGAGAATTTATTTGTTGAATAATTTCTTTTGTAGACATACGATCTTAATGAAACTTTTAGAGTGTAATCATATGGTGAATATATATAATATATACATTCCAAAGCACAAGTCTCTAGTATTTGAAATGCGTTTTTTACAAATTGGGGGAAACGGGGGCGTGGTATCCAAAATCTGTAAATCACAAAATCTTTGTATCGATTAAATTTATATACAACGCAAATTTGAAGACTCCAGGTCTAAAAGTGTTCAAATTAGGCTTCAAAAACAAAATCAATTTTTCGATTATTCTCGATAAAAAAGTTATCGGACGATTTATCGAAAAAATAAAGCAAACTCGTACTGCGTATGGTACTCACGAGTATGCATGCCAAATTTCAGCTCTCTAGCTCTTATAACTTCTGAGATCGACGCACTCATACGGACGGACGGACGGACGGACGGACGGACGGACGGACGGACGGACGGACGGACGGACAGACGGACAGGGCTATATCGACTCAGCTCGTCACGCTGATCAAGAATATATATACTTTGTGGGGTCTGCCACGCCTCCTTCTGCCCGTTACATACTTTTTCACAAAACCATTATACCCTGATTTCCCATTTTCAATGGGTTCAGGGTATAAAAACAACAAAAAACAAGCAAAACTATTTGGCCAAACAAATTGTATATAAATTGAAAGTTTGCCCACCTTTTTTCGTGTGCCAATTTATTGAAGTATTTTATATTCGGCTGCAATTCCCCAGTGCTGCAAAAAGAGAATCAGAATGAGAATGAGAACAAATACGAACAATGCATCCATAAATCCATTTAAAATGTGCATAAATCTCGAGAAAACTTTACGAAATGCAGACAGCGAGAAGACGAGAACACAAAGCGAATGGGGAGCGGGAAATGCTGTGGGAATGGGCCAGAGCGAAACG